CTTTTTTTTTTCTTTTGTTCTTGACACACCGTAAGTGTGCAAGAGTGTGGGAGCAAGTGAGTGCACAGGTGTGAGTGTGCCATGGGTATGAGGATGCATCTGCCTGCAGGAACATTAAGGAAGAAGATTAGAAAGTTTGGGAGAAGGGCTGAGAGTCTCTCTCTCCTCCTGATCTAATCTCTGCCCCTCTGATGAGCCATGCCTAGTTACTACTGCTGAGCATCCCCAGGAGTTTACTGGGCTCCAGGCCCTGCTGCTGTGCCATCTTCTGAACATCAAAACCCATATGCATGAGGAACTGGATCACATTCATCTCTTGCCCTGTGAATTGGTCCCTGATTGTGGGGCACGAGGGGTTGCAGTGAGGCCATGGACAGCTGTCAATCAGGTGAATTGGGCAGCCTTTCAGAGGAGCCTTCCCATTTTTGTTGCTCTCGTGGAGGCTCCGATCCCAACAGTGGAGGGCACGGGGTAATGATGTTCCCTTCACCTGGATGTCAGTCCAGTGACTGAAAAGACAAACCGTACAGATCACATCAGAGGGGCCAGGCTGCCAGGACACATTCATTCCCAAGCCATGTCCCCATTCATCTCTCACAGGATCTGCACAAGCACTTACTTGCGTGTGATGATCTCATGGGACAAACAAGCAGGAGCAAAGCTCGCACTAAAGGAAACAAAGAAATGTGGATAATGTCTTGAAGGACAAAGTAAGTCCTGCTGAATCAAACCTTCCAGACTAGGGAGAGGGTGGAATTTTACACAAAAATGAAAAAGGCAAGATTCTTGATGTAGATGAACTAATAGTTACAAATTTTACAACACTCCTTTTTCAGCAGAGGTCTGAGAACACAAGCACACCAAATAAGAATGTCCCTTAGAAACAAATGTGCCAGATTTTTCTCAATGAAACACTTACGTCACATCCTTCAAGGTATTTCTCAGCTCTCTACCCAAATTCTGGATGTAGAGCCACTGCCCTTCCTGAACAGGCTGGCCAGTTAGGTGCACATTGTCTACAGTAAGCTGGGCCTCATCGAAGAGCCACTGGACAACAAAGACTGGGCCTAGAAACACAAAAAAATTGGGAAAGGGATTGCTCCAAGTCAGTTAGAGATACAGAGGAAACCCTAAATCCATTTGATCTCTCTCCTTTGGTACTTACATCGAAGAGTGGGGTAAATCTTATATCCAAAAAAGCAATTCCATTCCTCTCCCTCTTTAAACTGCAGCTTACAGCGCTCAGGAACAATGCCATTCCAGTATCTACAAGACAAGGCAGTAACAGAAGGGGAGGCATGGGGCAATTCTAACAATGTATCCTCTCCATATCCTAGTTCTTGCTCTGATTAGAATTTCAACTGACAGAACAGCTTTCTCAGCAGCATTGTCCCATCAACACATTTTAGAGCATCTATAACTGTACACATTCTTTCACACATTTAGACTTTGTTGTCTTTTCCAATAAAATCATTGAAAAAACACTGATGTGGACAATAAATACTCCTTAAGTATCAACATGAAGGAGCACAGCAAAGGAGGACATTTTTTCCACACTCTAACTTCTTACAGTTCTGTACCTTAGCGTATCTGACTGTACCTTATTCCTCTTCTGATGGCCTCTGTTGGAGCACATGTTATGGTATCAATACAGTCAGTTCTGCGATACTGTTTGTTATCCAGGAACCATCCAGAGTCTGCCAAACCTCGAACCTGAATCCCTTGATAACCCATCTCCTCCAGCTGCTCTGCCACTCGATCCACGTTCAGGAGCACTCCTGTCCCTCCAGCACTGCAACAGCAACATCAGCACTGCAGTCATGAGGCGCCCACAGGTGTAGTATCTTGCCAGCAGACTTTCCTCAGCAGTGACACATTATAAACACCTTCATCCACTCACAGCAGAGCTATCCAGCCATTCAACACGAATTTGGTAGACACCACATTATTTCCTTGCTTCGCAACACTCAGAAATAAAGCCAATGCTGAGTAATAATCTGGTAGCTCAACAAAGCCCTGTTGTTACTCTCTTTCCTGGGAGATATACATACTCTGTATCATTTCCAAGGGGGTTGGCTGCTCAAAAATTAAAATAATCTGAAGTGAGACAAATTCACTCTTAGCAATTTCTCTATTATACTCCTGTGTAATACACTGAGTGTACCAGAGCTGTGTGCAACACAGAATGATCCAGAGCACCTGTGTGAGGCAACTTTGGTTTTTATTTCAGTGTCCTGAATCAATGCACAGGAGGTGTGTGTCTTATGATGTGGGCCAACAGGAATCAGAATACTTGGTGAAGACAAGAACACAAAGCTTTGTTATTTTCTGGGTTTTTCTTAAATGGATCTGGACCAGAAGCTGATGAAGTAATATTGTACCATCCCCTGTTGTACCACTTACACCAAAAAACTGACCAGAGATACAGGGTCTGCTGTGTTAGTGTTACTGTACTCTTAGAAAAAATGTTTCAGGAGCTCCTGAGATTTCCTCCCTTAACAGCTTTCGACTTGAGAAATCTCCTGTCTTCTCGAAACAGAATCTTGTGGATACCTACCTGCTCCCTGCTAGCAGCAATACTTTGGCAGCGCTCAGACCTCTTCCCACCAGCTCCTTTATAACCTCCTGTATGATCAGTGCTCCCATGAAGGCATATTCATCTAGAAGACAGTTCAGTGTCAACAAAATTTTTTCCTGTCCAGGCTCAGACTTTTACTTCCTTTCCAAAAAAGCTTAAGAACTTTCCAAAGTTCTAAACTCAAGCTCATTTTATTCACCTATACAAAATATACCTAACAAGAGATTCTCCCCTGCCTCATACAAAATGTGCTGCCCTGAAAGTGAGTTGAGTAAACTGAACACTGAATTACACAAGTACCTTCCTATGATAGTGCTTAGAAATGAGTAAACTTGGAAAAGGAAAACAAGAAGGGAGGTGCTGGAAGAACAAACATACACTTTCCTACCATCTGGAATCTCAGTTCCAATTTACTAGTTCCCCTTTTCTCCAATTCATCAAGCCAATTCAGAGAAGCAATGCTTCACAAGATGTTACATGCACAAAGACACTGCTTCCTTGGCACCACCAGCATCCGTGGTTGCTGATGTGTAACTGCTCCATAGGAACAGCCCCAAGGAGCTGGGATGGAGTTAAAAGGTCCCTTACTGTGACATCACTGGAATGACAGCGGATGGCAATGTATTAAAATGAACTATGCTGTTTCCCAAAGAAACCTGCAGACAGCTTTAGCTTGACTCACAACGGCTCCAGCCTAAGGCCAGATAGCCTCTGGATAAGTCTGACACTAAATTCACAGTCCTTCCTCTCAGGTCAGACATGCTAAAGTTACATGCAACAGTCCACGGTCCTTCAGCTGCAGCAATAATTTGCTACATGCTGGAACCTGGAGATTCATCTGAAAGGAATTTTGGTCCTCTAATCCTTGCATACTGCATCAGTGTAACATCTCTTCAAGCAGTGGCTGTGAACTATGTCAAAACAGCCTGAGCTAAAGAGATCAGGATGTTTTATCTGGAAGTAGCTTGATATTCTTTCCTGCCCTTCAGCAAGAAAAAGCCAGTTTCTCATCCACGTGGTTTCACAGAAGTCTGGCCACATCCTTTAATGTGTGATCTCTGGGGCAACAATGGCCCATCAGCAACACTCACTTTTCTCAGACTTGGAAGAGGCACCGCTCCAAACATCACTTGAGCAATATGGGATGAATCTGTAAGAGAGAGCTCTGTGAGTCCTGCTGTGCCTCTGACATGCACAACAGGGTGAGGATGGGGTCACCTAACTGGAAGAAATCCTGATAATTAAATCCTGATAAGGGGAAAAGGGAAGAGTTTCTGTCCAGTTTGACAACTTACCTTACTGCACACCAAGTGGCAACTGTAATTGTCCTGAATTTTCTCCTGAACACTGATAGTTTTACTGAATTAAATCAATAAATCACATGTCTTTTATCAATCTAATTGAATCACTAAGCTCAGCGGACAGAACGATGGAGCATGACTTTGCTCTCAGCTATTCTGCCAAAAAAGTGGATGGCCTGTCACAGGGCAACTCTCCGTGCTTCAGTTTTTCACATGAAAAATGAGAAGACTCTAGTCAGTGCAGTGTAAATGCTGACTGCAACCACTGGAGGTTTTTGCAGGAATTAACTTCCCATGTCTCTGTTTTGCAGAGGACAAATTAACATCCCTTCTGTACTTATATATATATATATATACACACATATATACTGACACATATAGAGACATCTATATATCTCATTTCTCTTCTTTGAACTAAGAGAGCTGCTCCACATTCTTCTCAAATTGTCAGATGTGTAACACACTATCAGCCCACCACTCGTGATGGATTCACCACTGCAGCTCTTTGAGAAGGCTCTCTATGCTATCCCCAGTTTTTCTTCATTAGATCACCCCACAGCTCCAAGGAGATTGAACTTGAGTTTCTCAACCTTGTCAGCCCTACATGTTAGAAAGCTGAACTGCAGCAAATGAGGAAATACACAATTTCCTTCTCCAAGTATTAGTCTTAACCTGTCTCTGCAGCACTTTTGCTAGCCTGAAAGGCAGGAGATGCTGTTTAAGTATAAAGCTATTTCCCTCTGTTGTCCCTCCTTACACCATGTTTGCATTCCACCAGTGGGGATTTTCTTCTGGCTGAGAGGACAGGATCCCAGTTCCTGCAGATGGGCACAAAGAAACAAGAAACATACAGATGACAGTCTGTGATTTCAGAGGAATCGTAGGAGCCTCATGCAAGACCTCTGACCACACAGAAACAAACATCCATGATGAAAAACATTGGCAAGGGAAGTGGAAGGAACATTTCTAAATTTGCCCTTAGGCAGATCTGACATTCAGAATTTGATTCATGCCACAGATGAAGCCTGTCTAGAAGCTTCTTGTAGTACATAAAAGACCCGTGATGCCTATTTAAGTACCTCCCCAAAAGACAAATCCTAGCAGGTAAATTCCAATATACTCGGTCAGACGATCTGTGTGAGTGACGGAGGTTAAGTACCCAGGAGGCTGCGGCATGAGGAGAGAGCGAAGAGAGGAGCGCTCATTACCGGCGATACCTGCGCACCCACCCGCCGGCACGGGATCATCACGGGGTAGCGACCAGGCACCTCGCAGGGTGGTGACGGCGGGCGCCGCCTCAGCCCGGTCCCAGGCCCTCGGGGCTGCCCCACGGGGTGGAGGGGGCGACTCACCCACGCGGGTCGCGGGCCACTCCCGGGAGCTCATCAGCCGTCGCATGGTGTCATAGCGGGTGTCGCAGTTCTCCCTGTTGAAGCAGTACCACCCTCCTGGCGAGGGGACAGGGGTCAGCTGCCCCGAAGGGCCGGGGGCTCGCGGGCAGAGGGACGGCGGCCCTCAGGGGCCGGGGCACCGAGGGCAGCCTCGGGTCGCCGCCCCGCTCCTGGCCGCCGTTGCGGAAGTCGGGGGCGCCGGCGCTCACCTTCCAGGAACAGCAGCCACCGCCGACTGCCTTTGGACTCCTTCAGGTAGTAGCTGCGGGCACAGACAAGGGGCAGCGCCTCAGCGGGAGCCGGGCCGGCCGCAACGCTCCGGTGCCACTCGGGCCGGGGCCGCCGCCCGCGAGGCGCTCGCTGCACCTGTCGCCGCCCGTGCCGCGCGCCGCCGCGCGGTGGCGCCGCAGCCCTCGGGGCCGGACCCGCGGGGAGCGGCGGCGGCCGCGCGGGGCAGCCCCGGGGCGCCTGGAGGGGCCGGCGCGGGGACTCACCCGGCCGGGCTGCCGTCGTTGCAGGTGACCGAGGCGTTGTGCAGGAGGTGCAGGCGCAGGTCGTGCGGCAGCGCCTGGGCCGAGCAGGGGTACAGCGACTGCGCCAGGCTCTTGACCTGCGCCATGAAGCTGTCCATGTTGCCCTCCACGGCGGTGAAGTCCAGCGGGAAACTCTCGGCTGCCGCCGCCGCCGCCTCGCCTCGCTCGCGGACCACCGGGCCTCGCCGCCGCCAGCCCTTCCTGCCCTCGCCGCCGGGCCCGGCGTGCAGCAGCCCCAGCAGCAGCAGGAGGTGCACCGCTGCCGTACCCATCGCCGCCCGCCGCCACCCGCCGCTCGCCGCGGCAGCCGC